CTGGGCTCTAGAACGATGTAGATGACGGTGATTATTGAGCTGGGCTCTAGACCGTAGTAGGTAACGGTGATTATTGAGCTGGGCTCTAGACCGTAGTAGGTAACGGTGATTATTGAGCTGGGCTCTAGACCGTAGTAGATAACGGTGATTATTGAGCTGGGCTCTAGACCGTGGTAAATAACGATGAATTGACACTAAATGAACAAAGTTAACTATGATATGATAATACCCTGGTTTGAGGGTCTTGGAAATTGAAACATTGATTATACTTAGTATAGTTGTCAATGTACTTGTCAAATGCTTCCAAGTACTGACCTCCCCTTCACGGGGGAGGCCACCTCACAGTTTCAGGTAAGAGTTGAGCTTGCTACCAGTGCCCGTTGCCCCGGGAGTTTTCAAGGAAGGAAGACGTGGTTCGTGCTTCCTCCGTTCCTGTTTTAAAAACAATTATGTTAATGCTCATGGATATTATATTTTGAATAATTATTTGGGGGCTTGTATGCCCATGCTTGCCAAGGTGTGGCATGAACACTTGTATTAAATGTTTCTGCTGCTATGAATGAATATTTTACATTATGTTTGTTTATGGATGAACTATGTGTGAACGATATTCCAGACGCCTTGTATAGTATGGATGTGTTGGACTGCGGTTGACTATTCGTACTGTACGGCGGATTGTTGACGTGTCCGGGTAGGTCCGGGGCGTGACACACTACCCCCACCCTTACCGCCATCCTACCCCCACCGCCATCATACATTCCTACCCCCACCCTACCCCTTCCCTACCTCGGCCCCACCCTGTTCCCGACCCCACCCTACGGCCATCCTATCTCAACTCCCTACCCTACCCCTACCTTACACCTACCTTACCTCATCCCTACTCACTACCCCACCCTTACCCCTAACCACGACCATAACCCACCCAACCCCTACTCCCACCCAACCCCCTACCCCTAGACCTTACCACCCCACCCCGACCATACCCCTTACCCCACCCCCACCCATAACGTCCCTACACCGACCCCTACGAGTAGGTATGAGTGGGTATGAAGGGTTGTGGGGGAGTATGGGTAGAGTGTAAGATCGTGGTAGGGGTAGGTGTAGGGGTCAAGGGTGTGGAATTGGAGAACTGTGTGAAAAAATCGATGAACATGTTTTCAGATTTGAAAATGAATAACTAAAAAATAGAAACAGAAAATTGGAGATAGAAAAACTGAAAAATAAAAACAGAAAATTGGAGAACGAAAAACAGATGTAGAAAACAGGAAAATATCTCTGTTAGTAAACAGGCCCTAATATTTTCAATGGTGAGATAGTGTTGTCCTTGTGGTAACACTAATGCCTTTAAGACATAAATATTGAGTTTTGGAAAGACAAGATAAAAGACTGTTTTCATAATTGGGGCTTCGCGGAAGAAATCCGTAGGTGTCGGGCCACCTTCACGTACGTTAATGGTGAGGGAGGGTTAGGACTACTACTACTTGAATTGAAAGGTGTGAAACAAATCAAATAAATTTTGGAGGGTTCGGTAACCACCCCGAACAACTGGGCATCAGATCCCCTTTTATTATATCAGTAGTAGTACATATTCTCTTAAGGGGCTTTGAACCTAGAACTTAGGGAGTATATCCCATTTGGAGTAGGGAGACGTTGACGTCAGAACTACTTAGACTTCATACTACTTGGAGGGTTTGGAATCCCTTTAGGGGGTGTGCACACTTAAGATAGAAGTCTAAATTCTAATAGAGGAGATGAAGTACCGAGAGCATATCGGAGTGACTGTACAAAACAACGGATCGCTGGGCTCAAGAATCGAGATAACGCTTGAGCACCACCCTTCTAAATGAACTAGGAGAATTAGCTATAAAGCTATTTTGAGGTAAATCAAATGTTTTGGTATTTTATTAATTGTGAATTTCTTAAGTACAAATACTTGTGATATTGGTTTGGAAAACATACTTGTGGATATTGATTATGTGTTTTGTAAAGATTGTGATAAAGTGCTTAAGTGAGTTTTGAGATGGATATTTGGAGTTGTGTATATGATATATGCTTTGGAATATTTATGAGAGTTTTTATTACATTTTCTAATGTTGGAATTATTATGATTTGGAATATTATTATTTTACATATGAATTATGTTATGAGGATTTATTATAAATATTGTTTTACTTATGATTGGTATGAATGTTTTGAAAAGATTTTCCTCCCAATTTTTTTGCAAAAATTATATATATGTGTCAAACGTGATTATTTTACGGGGTTGGGTGGGACTTACTTAGCATTTCCGGCTACTTTTTGTTTCTCTATTTTTCTTTCTTTTCCTGTACTTTATTTGTGCAGGAGATAAAGCTTGAGTATCTATTTGATGATGATGTTGATTCAAGAGAGATTCCGCTAGAACACCTAGATAGTACATCATTGTAATTCTATTTTCAAGATCTTTAGTGAATAATTTGTTTTGGAGCTTAAATTGTTTTGGTGGTGATTAGCATGTGCACTCGGTTAGGTTAGAACCGAGTGTGGCGGTAACGCCCCTATTTCCCTTTGAATTTTCCGCTGCACAACTATGATGTTTTCAAATAAAATTAATAATAAAGTATTATTTCAAAGTGTTTTTGGGTGGGAAATTTGGGGTGTTACAATAATGGGACTTTCTACTTAAATAAAATGGGTTTTACTAACATATTTATGTCAGAGTCAAATAAGATATGGATTATGTGGAATGCTTCTAATTTTGATGTGATCTCTGTAACGGATCGGGGTCAGTTTCTGTTGGTTAAGATGAGGTATATTCCGCTAGATTTTCTTTTTGTTTTCTCGCCCGTGTATGGCAAGCATACAAGAGTACAAAGGTCCTGCTCAACCTCCTGCTCGGGATATGGCTGACTTCAGGGATTGTATTGATGAATGTAGTTTATTGCAGTTGCCCACCATAGGTTCTTCTGGGGTTAGATCTAATGGACGCATTTGGGAGAGGCTAGATAGATATTTGGTGAACCAAGAGTTCATGGACCATTTTGACACTTGCAATATTCAACACTTGAGCAAGGCATCCTCCTATCACTGTCCTACATTATTAATATGTGATATTGCTTCCATTAGAGGACCCTCTCAATTTCGTTTTCAGAATATGAGGTTTACTAGTGACGATTTTCTACCCTTTGTGAAGCAAAAATGGGCCAGCTACCCTCGGATAGGGGGAATGAGGGGCATGTGCTCTAAACTTAAGGCCCTAAAAATGGACCTTAAAGTCTGGAATAGAGAGAAGTTTGGAAACATTTTTAAAGAAACAGAACGGCTTGAACAGGAGGCAATTATGGCGGAACAAGAATTTGAAGTAAATCCAACGGAGGAGACTCGGGCTTTGTGTCATAAAAAACAGGCCGAACTTCTTAATAGAGTGAAAGAGAAAGAGATTTATTGGAGGCAAAAAGCAAATATAAAATGGATGAAGGATGGTGATGCCAACACAAAGTTCTTTCATGCATCAGTCAAAGCAAAGGTCTGAAAACAGTTTAGAGCAATAAAGAAACAGGATGGCGTTTGGGTGTATAATACTCAGGAAATTGGGGAAGAGGCGGTGAGTTTTTTTGAAAAATTATGCAGCTTTGAGCCTACTGACTCTTATGATGAAATCCTTTGCTTCATTCCTCCCTTACTGCAAGAAGGTGACAGCGACGGTTTAGTGGAGCTCCCTAGTGAACTGGAGATTAGGGAGGCTGTTTGGGGCCTTAGTGCGGACGCCGCTCCGGAGCCGGATGGTTTTGGAGGTAGCTTTTATAAGGGATGCTGAGAGATTATTAAACAGGATGTGATGTTGGCAGTTCATGAATTCTTTATGGGATTACCAGTGCCTAAAGGAGTAGGAAGCGTGAATTTGGTTCTGATTCCAAAGAAGAAAAGCCCTGTCTCTTTTGGTGACTTTCGGCCAATTTGTTTGTCTACCTTCTAAAGCCAAATTAACACGTGCATCCTGACGACGCGTTTGTCATCTATTCTAAGCAAAATTATTTCTTGTGAGAAATCAGGTTTCATGAAAGGCAGGGAGATCCAACACCAAGTACTAGTTGCTTTGGAGATGTTACATCACTTGGATAGGAAGGTAAGGGGATCAAACCTGGTAATCAAGCTGGATATGGCTAAGGCGTTTGTTTGATAGAGTGGCATGGGGTTTCCTGGACGCTATACTAAATAAATTTGGTTTTAGCTATCAAGCAATAAGACTCATTATGGGGAATTTAAGGGCGACATATATTTCTATTCTCTTAAATGGCTACTCTTTTGTGTATTTCCAGCCACATCGGGGGGTAAAACAGGGTGACCCCCTGTCACCTTTATTATTTATCATAATGTCTGAGGCTTTCTCTAGGGGAATAAATCATATGCTTCTTAATGGAGGGATCGAGGCTTTCAATTGGGGCAGATCTCCTAATCTTTCACATTTAGCTTTCGCAGATGACCTTATGGTATTCATTAATGGTTCAGACAGGTCTATTGGCAAATTCAGACAGTTTTTAAAGCTTTATCAGAAAGCTACAGGGCTGCTTGTTAATAATGACAAGAGCTGTTTTGTCATTGGCAAATATGCCTCAGCAGATAGAATACTTTATGTTGAAAACAAACTAGGAATGAAGGTTTCTAAGCTACCTTAAGTATTTGGGGGTGCAAATACACAAAGGTATTACTAGGGTGGGACATTGCAAATAGCTTCTGGAGGCAGTTGATGCTAGGTTAGCATCTTGGAAGCTTAAGTTTCTTTCCCAAGGTGGGAGGCTTACGCTTATCAAGCATGTGTTAAACTCCTTACCTATACATGTGTTAGCTGTTACAAGCATTCCTGAAGCAGTTCAGCGCTTATTCAATTAAAAAATTGCAAATTTTTTTGGGGGGTGAGGGACAATAAGGCCAAACATCACTGGGCCTCAATGAAAATATTATGCAGGCCTTTTGAAGCAGAAGGTATAGGCATCAGATCACTAGCAGACATTCAAAGAGTGGCATTCTTGAAACTTTGGTGGGAGTTTAAAAAAGGTGGGTCTATTTGGGCTTCATTGATGCAAAGAAAATATGGCAGAAGGCAGTTGGGGGAGGCCAAGCACTCGGATTCTCCAACCAGGAGGAGAATCAGTCAAATTCATTAGCAAGCCAAGCCTATGGTTGACAGGGATACTACCTCTATACAGTGGAGATACTCTAGTGATGGTCTGTTTAGTACCAAGTCGGCTTACAAGGCTTTATGGAGGGGAAGGGGGAACACTCTATCAGTTACAAACATTTGGCATAAACAACAAATTCCAAAAGTGAAAGTTTTTCTTTGGAGACTCTGGCATAATTGTTTACCATTTCCAGAACAGCTAGCAACCTTTATTCTGCCAGTCTGCCTCAGGCTCAAAAGATCATATCTTGCTTGAATGTAATCTTGCAAAGCCAATATGGGATTTCTTTGAAGGCCTTTTGCGACCTGGTAGGCGAAAGGTTAGTAAAATTAAAGATCAACTTTTGAAATGGTGGAGTGGAGGTTCTGGGGAATCCATGGATGCTACCTATATTGCTATAGTGCCTGGAGTGATAACTTGGCACATATGGAAGAGCTACTGGGATCTGATTTGGAAGGGGGTATTTCCGAACAAGGATAAAATCATCCAACAAATCTGTAAACTCATGTTAAGCTGGTGTTATGCAAATCAAAAACTTAAGGGAAATAGTAAGTTGAAAGTATTGGTTTATTACCTAGTTTCTTTAATTTGAAGAAGCCCCAGGTTTTTCGGTGGTTAAGCAAAATTGGGCGGTTTTCAGACAATCGGGGAGATCGGCAGCCGGCTTTTGCTGAGGGGGCTGTGATTGCAGCAGCTGGCTTCCCTTTGAGTGGTTCTACAGGGCGAGACGAAGAAAAAGATCGGGATAACGAAACAGAAATGGAAGGTTTCAGACAGGTGATTGCTGAAGTCGGTGAGGAGCGGATTATGGGCTGATGTGACACAGGTGGGTTTTTTCCCAGCCCAGGCGAATGTGCCAGCACATCTTGTAGCTAAAATGGGCTGGGCGGGTCGTTTTAATTGGCGGGTTGGAGATCAGTGGTGCACTCATATTGGATACTTTGTCCACTCCTTATGTTTTATGATTTTTTTCTCATCTTTTTTTCTTTATCATTTTGCTGAAAGGGGATGCCCTTTCTGAGGTTTTCTGGTATAGTCCCTGTTGAAGTTTTATCCCGAAGATCCGAAATCCCTACACACGCTTTGGATATATAAGGACGTTAAGTTGGTTGGGAAAAGTGTATAAAATATAAAACAGTGAATAAGATTCAACTCAGGAGCTAACTTGCATTAAGTAATCCGCTGATTACAATGTAACTGCCCGAACGGTCTGTCGGTACGAGTTTAAATACAATATAAGAGAGATGATTCTATTGCTAAACTCTGAGTCTTGAAATGCTAACTCTTTACAATACATTCGATGCAGGTATTTATACTACAAAGGGGATGGGTGATGTGGACACGTGGCCGAACCCGGTAGGCTATTATATCTGCCACGCAGTGCCCCCATGCCCCCACTTGCTGCTGTCATACCTCGGTATTAAATGCGGCTTCCACTTACTGATTACCCGTCTGGGTAGAGCGTTCGGTGTGCGGGATCCCTTCCTGAGTGGATGCCAGTGTTTCCTAAATTACTCCCGAATGCCGATCGGGTGGTCTGGACCGCTTTAGGCCCTATGTTTCCTCCGGGCTCCTCCACACTTTGGGCCGGGTGTATTGGGCCTGGACCCAATATCCCAACACTAGTCCCCCACTTCCTATGTCTCGAACGGTAGTGAGTGCATAAGGAAGTAGAAGACCTGATTCCCGGACGCTGCTCGAGATCCCGCCGGTTCCCGATGCAATCTTTTGACGGTTTTATGCGGCTGTCGTTTCAGTTTTTTTATAATTGTAATGATTACTTTGGGATTATTCTTTGCGTGACACGTGTACTTGTAATTATTACTAATGATGTGTCCTCTTTTGATTGGTTGTGGATTCGGTGTGACAGGTTATAAATAGGCTTCTCCAGCTTAAATTCTGGGTTTCGAAACCTTGCATCTTCGGCTTATTGCTCTGCCTTCTCTCTAAAGACCCCGCTTGCCTTCTTGCTCAGGTACCCTTCGTACCTTCTCTCCCTCTTTCTCTCTTCTGTTCGGCCATATGGTGTCGAGCTCGCATCCCACTGATGTGTCCACTTCCGAAGCTGCTCCTCAGCAGGAGATTCTAGATGTGGTGGTGAGAGACACCCATGCCTATGCGGAGGCTTCCGGCGAAGGCCCCAGCGATAATGGCTCCTCCGCTAGTACTTACTCAGACGGCACCAAGTCCGATGATGAACTTGAATTAATGAAAGTTGGCCCTTCTGGTGATGTTCCACGTCATAAACTGGACCTAACCCTAATCCGGCTATGACGACAGAAGCTTACAGGCCCGAATAGGGCCCAAATTCCAACTTTGACTCCCGACCCGGTGGATTTCCGTCTTCAGTCTGGGCTTCACCCAATGCGCCATTTCCCCGGGATGGTAGTAGTCCATTTGGACTCGGTGAAAGCCGGCCTTAGATTCCCGCTCCACCCCTTCTTTATTTCTTGATTTAATTTTTATGGCATAGTACCGGCCCAAATTAAGCTGAAATTTCCAAGTTACTGCTATAGAGTCTAAGCAAATTAAACCATAACATATTCCTTAGCAAATGCCCTTCCCAAACAGCAAAGATCTTCACTAAACCAACTCCAATAACCTAACGCAATAATTTTCCATTCCAATCTAATAAAGGTTTTGGAAATTCATAGCAAATATGTCAGTATATCACATGGCTAATTAGATCAAAGATCTCTTTGATAGTGGCTGCAAGCAGCCTTAGTCGCAGCAATAAACATCTATCCCCATCAACCAAAATGCGCTGCAGAAATATGAGTTCAATTGCACAGTTTAGGTCACTTCACTTCAATTTAGCTTCTTTGTATTTTTGAATGAGTTTCTTCTGCAAATCACTTAAGCTCCATCATCAAGGAACCAAGTTGCTTGATGAAAAACACTTCTCAGATCTTTTATTGACAGCAGCTAATCTAAGTACAAGGAACCACGCGACCACTACACTTAAATGCAAATAGCACAAAGCCATGAATCAAATTAATATACAAAACTATATACACAAATTCATTTTATACTGAAGGAAAAACAAATGGAAACATAAATAAACAAAACAACGATATTAAATATTATCATCATCATTTTCATTTACCCATGTGCCGCAAAGACTCCCACCTACGGTGGGGTAAGGTGGGGTCGGATGTACGCAGTCTTACCCCTGTACTAAAGCAAAGAGAGACTGTTTCTGGATGACCCATAGTGAAAATCACGTCCAAAATTGCATAGACTGACTGCTGCTTCTGAACACAGAAACGCAGACAGTTTAGTGAGTCATTTTACTTTATTCCATCATAATCTCAAGCCAAAACATAATGATTTTTTGGCTCCATGGTGCAACAAAAAAATACTACCTAATTTTACTTTTCTTGTATGTAGTACTCCGTGTGTATTAAAATATGGTGGTGGGGGGGTGTGGGGGGGGGGGAATATGTTAATGTCAAGATAAGCAAATTCAAGTTTCTACTTTTTATAAGGGGCGGGCTTCGGGCTTGAGTTTTTGGGGCCCAACGGCTATTTTTTTATATACAAAAAATAATTAATTAAATGGGTGGGTACCGACACGGGCCCGGTACTATTTGGGCCTGGACCGGAACCGGAGCATACTGGTCCGGTACCGGGCTCCACTTTTCCGGAACCTACCGCTCGGGCCCGACCCGGCCCGACCCGGGTCCATTCCTAGGGCGACACTTGTTAATTTAAGGATGGATCAGTACCAGGCCGGCCCGGTCCTTGAGGGCTTTTATTTTGCAAAAGCTAGGCCCGGTACCGACCCGGGTACCCGGCCAAGCCTCAGGCCGGTCCCGGGTCAGGTCGGTCCTTTGGTATTTTTTTAATTAATTGAACAAGTGCTACACATTAAAAATTAAATGTATATTTATTTGAAATATGAAATACAATTGACAATTGAGAATAATTTAAAACATTAAATACTATTTCTAAAAATCAGTCGAAATCTCCGCCAGGCGCCAACGTCGGTTGTTGTTTCCTCATTGAAGTGACAGTCCGGGGTGATGCAAACTTCTTGAAATTTGTGTCGGGACTTCAACCAATCGTGGAAGCAAATGAGCGTCTCAAGAGATTGTGCGCTCAATCTCGTTATATAATCCCTAAGGATTAGGGATGGACTCGGGTCGGGCGGCCCGACCTGGAACCGGCCCGGCCCGGCGGCCCGGCCCATGGGCGGTTCGGGTCGACCCGGCCCGGTGGCTACCGGTTCCGTGCCCGGGCCTTCATTTTGGTGAACCGGCCCGGCCGGTTCGGGCCCGGTCCGGGCCGGATTTAATTTTTTTTTTTTTGATTTTTTTTTTTAAGTTTTTGGGTTGGATTGGTTATTTTGGGCCATTTGAGGTGGTTTGGGGTGGTTTGGGGTTGAGGGGCAGGGTAGGGGGTTGATTAGGAAAACCCAAAAAAAATTTTATATAGAACCGGAACCGGACCCGGGGTTACCCGGGCCGGTTCCGGGCCTCCCCTACATTGAACTGAGGCCCGGCCGGTTCAAGGCCCAAACCGGGCCCGGCCCGTAACCGGTCCACCACTACTAAGGATGTTGCCGGCTTCGCTAAATTCTTGTTTCACGGCTACCGTTGACACTGGCGTTGATAGCGCTTGCTTTGCCATCTTCGATAAAATCGGAAACATTCATTCTTTGTTCTTCCACCATTTCAGAACGTCAAAATCATTCTCTTCTTCATACTCAATAGGAAATGTTAAATATAAAGAAAGCTCGCTAATCGAGCTTTGTGCAACAATGAGAGTTTTATTTTTTCCATAAAATTACCAAATGTATATTTGAAACCTTTAGGTAAAGAACTTGTTGGTTTCAGGAGAGGGAGTGTGTTACCATTATGTGCATGTAAAGATGTAACTCATTAAATAATTGATGAAATAAGTTACCAATCCCGTTGTATTGCTCTTTAGAATCTATTGGTCATCTTTTGGTCATCTTCGAAATAGGCAATGGATAAAAAAAACAAGTATAATAGTACTCTATGCAATTTTGATAAGCACCAAGTTTGAAATGAGGATCAAGAACAAAGACAATAACCACATATAGACAGAATATATGTAAAATATTTTCAAAACGTTTTACATGAAATTACAAAAATAATGAATGTAAAACGGCAATTTAAAATTCAGAAAAAAACATCAGCGAGATTATCCGCTTCAACACTCAAGATGTTGCCTAATACGGGGGTAGCTCTATATATTAATAGAGCTCCCTTACATAATGAACGTAAGGGGCAGTTGCCAACGGCTAGCAACAGCCCGGATAAAATTAAAAAAATGTGACAAATGGGAGCCCTAAGCCCGCCTTCCTTCTCCACTGGGCACGGTACCAGGTCAGTACCGGCTGGGTAACCAGGCCTGGGTCGGTACAAGTAGTGCCGATCCCAGGTCAGTCCCAGGTCGGGCCAGCCCGGCACAGTCCATCCCTACTTGTTATCCTGGAGGACCTGGAACTCTGGAAGAGATGATTTTTATTAGCTTACGCATAAATTTTAGTGTTACGTATAGAAGCGACATGCAAATCGAATTGCACATTCATTCACTAAATAAAGCAGCCGATTAAGGGTCACGAGTACTTTTTAATTATTTTTGAACCCCTCAATAGTCAATACTTGGATAATTTGAATTGCTTTTTTACCAAAAAATTATGCAAGTAAGTTCTATATTGGGGGTCGGAGTATATTTTTACTGAATACCAAAACACTCTTGCTAGACCAACTTAATACCTTCAATTCCAATTCTCAAAACATCTAATTGATATGAAACAAGTCTCAAAACCCTAATCATGGTATGCTCTCTAGTAGATCATTTCTTGC